TTACTCTCGTGCCTAAACCCTCATCACCCTCTGTAAATCTTGCGTCCCGGGACGCCTCAGACAACTCTCCTCCGTGGCAGGGCGTAATTGACCGGCGCTGGCCATTTGTCATTTCAGGTGGCGAAATGCAGACTAAGATCAGGGACTTGCCTCTAGGTGAGGAGCACCCAGAACAGGAGCCTGGACAGACACCGTGCCACCTGGGCGAAGCCATCACCCAGCTACGAGCCTGTGCAGAAGCTGGAGCGCGGGAGGGCAGCTTACAAAGGAAGCAGAAAATCACCACCGGGAAGAGGCGGCACGTTTGCCATGAATGTGGAAAGAGTTTTGCTCAGAGCTCAGGCCTGACTAAGCACAGGAGAATCCACACGGGCGAGAAACCCTACGAATGTGAGGAGTGCGGCAAGTCCTTCATCGGGAGCTCTGCCCTCATCATTCATCAGAGAGTCCACACTGGTGAGAAACCCTATGAGTGTGACGAATGTGGCAAGGTCTTCAGTCACAGCTCAAACCTCATCAAGCACCAGAGAACTCACACTGGGGAGAAGCCCTACGAGTGTGAGGACTGCGGGAAGGCCTTCAGCCAGAGCTGCAGCCTCCTCGAACATCACAGAATCCACACGGGGGAGAAGCCATATCAGTGCAACACATGCGGCAAGGCCTTTAGGCGGAATTCGCATCTCCTGAGACATCGGAGGGTCCACGGTGATAAGGATGTTCAGGATCCGGAACGTGGAGGGACTTGGGAGAATCAGGGGAGGGTGGAGAGGTCCGAGGGGAGTGTTGAGGCCCTCGTGTCTTACACATGTGATGAGTGTGAGAGGAGTTTCACTAGGAGCAGGAGCCTTATCGAACATCAGAAAATCCACACAGGCGAGAAACCCTATCAGTGTGACGCGTGTGGAAAAGGCTTCGCCCGAACTTCATACCTTGTTCAGCATCAGAGAAGCCACGTTGGGAAAAAAATTCTGTCCCGGTGACACAGGTCTTACATGCCAGCGTTGGTGCTCATTCCTCACTGAG